CCTCAGCCTAAATTTTAATTCCTTAGAGAAGGCTTCTCTGATGTCCACTGGGATCCCGCACCATAGGCATTTATACATTCCGTACTTCATAGCATGCAATCTGATCTGCAATGTTATATTTAGGTGGTCATTTGTTTAATGTACATATTTCCCCACGAGAGACTAAGCCATGCAAGGGGCAGGGCCAGGTCTGTTTTCTTGCCATTGCAACTGCTGAGCCCAGCTCAGTGCCTGGCACAGAGTAGAGGCTGAATGAATTTCAGCCTCTGCAGAAATAAAGAAGTAATGACCCATGAATGAGTGAATGAATCCAGTGTTTTCATTCACATAGTAAGCAGAGTCCAGGTAGCTTTCCTCAGCTTAGTATGATGATTAAAAACATGGGCCCTGGACTATTTAGGAGAGTTATTTAACTCTTTGTGCTTCTTGTCCTCCTCTAGAATGAGGATAATAAAAGAACCTTCAGAGGTACTTTATATACATGACAGTACCTTATCAGGATTTAATAAAAAAAAAAACACTTGGAACAGTGCCTAGCATATGCAGACACTCAATATGCCAGCGCCTTTAAAAACTGCCTCTCTCTGGAATCATGAAATCCCCATGATCACTGCATCCAATCATTGCTATTCTAATCCTAGTGCACTTACCTTGGCTCACATTAATATAAATATTTAATCTCTTTGTATATTTTTAGTGCTTATTATTCTGTGTCTCTGAGTTTTCCAGGGCTGACTTATCTATCAGGAGCAGCAGGTGCAGTGCCTGCAGTGCTTGTAGGGACCCACAGAAATGTTTTAATTTCTTCTAAGATCTGAAGTGGAAAAGAGAACTTATAGATCAAAGAAAATGTTTTATAACATTTTATAACTGGGCTATTGGGAGGATTCCTCTTCCTGCCTCTCTTTCTCCTCCTCCTCTTCCTCTTCCTCCTCCTCTCTCCCATGTGTACCTCAGCCCTCCCCCATCGCCTCCCCTCGGGTCCCCTGTCCCTGCTCACCTTTGCCAGTGTCCCCTCCTCCGTCCGGGCTCACGCACTTGCTACCACGAGCTCTTCGCCTGGTCTAGGCTTCAGCCTTCTTCACCCATCCCGCTTTGAGCTTCTCATAGTGCTTGGCATTTTATTTTGCTTTGTTGTTTTAGCATCTCCTTTTGATACCTCCACTTCTCCCTTCTTCTCTTTCTTGTCTTTATTCATTATTGTTTTCTTTGTGTTTTAATTTCTTTTTGATTCCAGCTTCGGGACACAGTTTATTTCCCCTGCTACCTTTTTATTTTTTTTACTGGCTCCATTCTTTTGTGTTCTTTCTTTTTTTCTTTTTAAAATATCTCCTTTCTCCTTGCCCAGCCCTTTCTCAGTCCTCTGCTAATTCGTTTTTTGCTTCCGCTTCCTCTGGAGGACCTGACATCTCCCCTCCCACTCCTAACCAGAGCTGTGGAAACTCAGCCTTCCCCTCTGACTTATGCAGCCCAGAGGACACTGTGTCCCTCAGCCACAAGGCCCACTGGAAAGGAGAGTTGTCTTGATATGTGACCAAGACTTTGCCCCCTGCATTGGGCCTTCATGTACAGGTACTACTGGGTCATTCATTTTTCAGTGGAAACACTGGAAAGAGAAGGCAAATATGTTGCACATTCTGATGCTTAGCTGCTTGTCAGGGTCATTAAATTACTTGCTGGTGCCCACCCTGGTGCAGGGAAGACAGGGCTCTTTGGTTTTGTATGTAGTCAACCTGCCTGCCCTTGCAGGCCAGTAGACCCCTTCCCCCCCATGCACACTTCGGTTATTCGATCTGGATTAAATGTAGACAAATCCTGTCAATTGAGCAGCCTCTTTAGCAACCATTTAGGCTGTCTTCTGGGTAACAATGCTCAGTATCGCATATGTCCTCCCATCCCCTGCTTCTCCCAGGTGGCATGAGAGTAGGGGACAGGGAGCCTGAGATGTCCCCCAGGTGCTAGGAAGGAGCATGAAGCTCCAGCCTCCTCTGGTCCTGGGTTGCTGACACTTGTCCTGTCGTCATTCCCAGGTGAAGCCTGAGGCTGCTCTAATTCATGACCTGGTCTGTATCGGGCCTGTTTCAGCTCCCACAGGTTTGCTGAGGTCCCCTGAGGCATGGCTGTGACCCCCACATCCTTGGCACAGGGGCTGCCCCAGAGAGCCACTCAGGCAGATTTCCTTGGAAGTTCTCAGCTACTTCTGGGTCTTGTTTGTGACACTTGAATATCAAGGTCACCCCAGGAAAGCAGGAAAGCAAGAAAGCAGCTCTCCCTCCATCTAACGCTGCACCTACTTAAACTTGCCCATGAGCCTAAGAGGTTTCCTCTGGAGTTCTAAATGGGAATCAGGACAGAATACCCTTTCCTTTGGGCTCCCCCGTATTTGCCCAACACACATGGTGATACTAGTCCACACGTACATGAGCCTTCATATGTCCTTTGCATCATTTAATTCTCACAACGACCCTGGGAGGAAGGGGTACTACTATTCACAATAGGTGAGGAAACTGAGGCACAGAGAGGTTGAGTGCCTTACCCAGGATTATACAGCCCTGCGGCAGAGAGTGGAGCGGGGATGGGAACTGTGGGGGCTTGGCTGCTCCCCGCTCTGCTGAACCCCTGGGAATCCCCTCTTTATTCCTCCTTCTGCTTCTACTCCCTGTCCCCAGGCCAAAAAGAGGCCGGTTTATTTTTATTTCCTCCATGCCACCTGCTCTTGCTGCTGTGAAGCTGGGTTAGTTGTCACATAAAGACTAGCAGGGGTTCAGTTCGTTTTGAACCTTTTCTTCTGTGTTTCCAGAGGGAGACTGTGAGTTGAAGCCGGCTGCGAGGCCAGTGTTTCACTTCCTCCACTGTCCACTTCAGAGGGACTCTGAGAACTGCCCAGACTGGTCAGTGGCAGCCATCCAGCTCCCATATGGAGATCCAGAATGTGTCCTCGAGAGCCTGGCTCAGATATCAGCTCCACCCTCGGCAGCTAATGATATCCCTGAGGACATGCACAGCAGGACTGCTTCCTCTGGCAGTGACAAAGAATTTGGCCAGGGCTGGCCTCCCACCCTCTCCCGCCGGGCCCTGTGCACCAGCAGCTGTCCAACGCGAGGCTGCTGGCTGTGGTGGCTCCACAGTGAGGCATGCCTGTTGCTACAGGGACAAAACTTGTCCTTCTATTTTCTCCAACTCATACCTCAAAGTGACCTCAGACAAATAGGATCAGATCAGGTCTCCTCGACAGTGGTCCCCACTGAGGCCCAAAGCCCCCGGTGCCTTATAAATGAGCCATATTCACCTGGAGAACCTGGTGTTTCTCTCAGATTTCGGAATCCTCTGTCAAAACCTTTAAATACACAGTTTAAACCTTGGTGTGGTGCAGTTCCATTGCTCAATTAGCAGTAGCTTTAAGTGCAAAGCCCAGCTCTGTAAAAAGCATTACCTTATAAAACATGAAGTGAAATCTACAATCGGCAGGTCTCTCCATAAGTGACCATGTTATAAAATATTTCATAGATTTCATTCTTTGAGTCATGTAACAAATATTTTTTCAGGACAATCTCTTCTTCCTCTTCATTTCCAGATAATACCATTTGCTATTCCTTCCAAATCCTACATCAATGCCTAACTTGGTATTCTAGGATTCTTACTATCTTCCGTATTTTCAACAAAAACTATACTTTTATGATAAGGTTGTACTTACTAACAAAAAAATTTCTTTGCCTTCAAGTGAAATGACAAATGACCCAAGTGGCATTATGCGGAGTGGAAGATTTGATTAGCACTCTTTAACTGAAATACATGGAAATGTAAATAATTTACTACACAGCAACATTGGAAGATGGAAACTTTTTGCTAGTGGGGTGCACATGGGGAAAGGTTGCTGAGGAGAAGACAGCACCTCAGCGCTACATCGTCTCCACCACCATGTCCCATTTCTCTGCAGAGATGGGAGGATGCAGGCAACAGCTACATAGTATCATGTCATTCACTAAATAATTAGAACCCCAGTTCAATGGAGAGCTTTGACAAACACGTTTGGAGGGCTGCTGCCTGCCAGGCTCTGCTGTAAATGCAGGGACTACAGAAGGGAAGTTCACTTTGGGAAATCAGACCTGTATCCACCTAGCTACAAGACAATGAGTGGCATCCTGTCTTACTGGTTGGAAAGAGATGTTATGGCAGCAGGCAGGAGGAAGTAGAACGTTCTGGAAGGGGAGGGTGGGGGAAGAAAGCTTCACAGAGGAGGCTGCATTTGAACAGGCCCATAGAAGGGTAATGATTTTGCAGGGGTAGAAGTGCTTCCTCCGAAAGCACTTAAGAGGTGGAAGAGATGAGCTTCTGAAATGTCCTTTGATTAATCATTCCAAGTTTCTGGTTTCTTCCCAAGCTTGCAGATTTCTTAAACATTCATTCCACTGGTTTCACGTATCTCAGATCATCTTGCTTTCTAATGCAGTGACTCTCAGGAAAGTCTGGTCCACTGACCAGCAACATCAGAATCACCTGGGCCCTGGGTAGAAACGTAAATTCTTGGGCCCCAATCCAGCTTTACTGAATCGGAAACGCTTGGACTCTCACGTGATACAAATTCAAGTTGACAGCCACAGTTCTAACATACCCGGAGCTTCGGGGGCTAATGCAGAGCCTGAGAATAATCTAGGTTGCTCAGTCTGGGACTCGCCGGAGGTTCCTGCCTCGGCCTGTGTCAGCGGTTCAGACAAGTCCTGCAGCCACCAGGGCGGGGCGTTAGCGACGTCCTCTCGGGCGGTTTCTGTAAAGTTCATGTCACAGGGCTGTGGCCCAGACTCACTTTTTCCCCTCAAAGCGGATAGACTGGCGGTCTTCGTTAAGCAGTCGCACGGCTGGCTTGGGGGTAACACTGGCCTCTTTAGCTATGCAGGCGAGCGGGGCGGACGGCCTGGGGTCATTCCGACAGAGGCCACTCCCGCCCCAGCGCGGGAGCTGGCTCTTTAGCAAGGACGGCTGGGTCAGGTGACGGCGGCGGAGCATACTTCGCAGGCGACGCGGAAGGCGGCCGCGCCAGCGTGCACAGGGCCGCCGGCCGCGCGGGGACATGCGGATCCCGGAGCTCCCCGGGCTGGCGCTCGCGCTGCTGGTGCTGCTGCCGCCGAGCCCCGCCCGCTGCGCCGCGCGCTTCGACCCCACCTGGGCGTCCCTGGACGCCCGCCGGCTGCCCGCGTGGTTCGACCGGGCCAAGTTCGGCATCTTCATCCACTGGGGCGTGTTTTCGGTGCCCAGCTTCGGTAGCGAGTGGTTCTGGTGAGTGCGCGTCCCTCCGTCTCCCCGGACCACAGACCGGTGGCCTCCCCGAGCTGCCCCCTTGTCAGTTTCATCCCTTCTCCCCACCCTTTCCCCGCGCCCCCAACTGTTTAAATCGAGTTTTGCATTTCCGGGTGTTGAATGCATGGTTTCTTGTCTAAGTACTTCGGTACTGAGTGAACACTGAATTTTTCTGCCCTGTGACTGCAAGAGTTAAATGGTGTGGGGAGGCTTACAAGATAAGAGTTATTCTAACAAGGCCCGTACAGTATTCTTTTGGTCTCCACTTTTCTTTCTTGAAGGTAAGGATGTTGCCTTTCCTTCTGGTATAGAGTCTCTTTCACACTGGAATTTCATCTTCTGCTCTTAAAAAACAGCACAAAAGTCAAAGTGCTCTTTTTGCACCTGCTGTTTTTCAAGACCTTTAACTCTTATTTTAACAGGCCAGAGTAGCACATTTTAACCCCTTCACTGCAAAGAGATTGACTTCCTGCAACCAGTAACCTTTCTTGTTATGTTAGGCCAGTTGATGTAAAAGAACAGTATAAGCTATGGAGAATTATTCATATAATTAAAAAAAATCAGCTTGTAAAACAAGGAACTTTCTTCCTATACCATGTATTAGCAAGCATTTCTACTTCAGAAAGATGTTATAACTCTTTATTTGTATGTTTTGGGCCGTAAGGCATTTTGAGTTTATTTTTGAAATGTTTCAGATTAGTGAGGTGCATAATTAACAGATTTTCTACTTTCTAAATTGTATCTTATTTTATATGATCATTTTGTTCAACCATGAAGATTAGCTAAATATACATTGGTGGATTTGACACTGATTAATTGAGACTAATGCTCTGCCAAAATAAACCAGCTAGTTTTGAGTCATTTTGTTCTTTGCTATGGTTAATTTTCTACCAATGAACACATGGTTGTTTATTTTGACATAGAACAATAAAGATAACTTCTTATACTGAACAATATAGAATACATATTCCTGGTGGTCTGGAAGTGCATTAACCCTGTGAAAGACTCTTTAATTATTTATTGTTTCCCTTTGTATCCTTTCTAAACCTCTGCTCCCCGCTCCCAATTTGACTTTTGGGCAGTCAACAGTAGAGATGAGTGTATCTGACTGTTATTAATGGAAATGAAATACTGAATATAAATAATGAACTCTTTACTGTACGTGCCTCTTTTCTTCTCTTTTAATATGAAATTTGAGTCTAGACTGTAGGAGAGAATGCAGGTTCAAATTAGATGATACTGTTAGGGACAGAAAAACAAGTGAGAGGTAATGGAAATCAGAAAAACAGAAAGGAGAAAACATTTATGGGAAAACAATAAGGAGAAAATAGTTACAGAAAAATAACCAGGGGAACCAGTTAGTTCAGTCTTAAAGAATGGGGTAATTAGACCATGGAACAGTGACCACCAATCAGAAAATAGAAAAACACCATAAACGGTAACTTTCCCCATCACACATATAGGAGAAAGAAATGAATGGAACATAACCTTTAAGTTATGTCCATAACTGGAAAGAATTCAGTCCCCAAAACAGTGATGTAGAGTTACGAATAATTATAACCTTTACCTAACTTGCTAACATATAAAAGGAAAAACAGAAGTAGACGGTGTCTTCTCTACTCATGGAGACAGACCTGTTTCCCCTTAGGAAACGTCTTTTGCTTTGCACCTTTAAACTTTCTTTACAATAAATTCTTCACACTCTTGCTGAGTGTCTGTCATCTCTCTTCATTGCGCAGTACCAGGGGTTCATGATGCCCCTGATATAACCAGGTCCCCAGGCAGTGTGAGCTGCAAGAGATGGGAGAGACAAAGACACAGACACAAAAAGTAAGGTGAAAGGGTGTGGGGAAGATCAGGGGACCACCAGAATTCCTGTGAGCCAGGTAGTACTGACTGAAAATTAGCACCAGTTTTTATTCTCTTTTTCATGCTATAGATTACAATGATTTCACGTGAAAAGCTTGTGGGTTACAATGTATAGAAGTTTCAAGTCCCCCCTAATTGTGACAAGATGTCTTAGCTAATTACTCTTTTATCTGTGGAAGCAGGAACACATAGCTTGCTACTAAGCACAACTACGCCTTAAGGTATGTACAGATAGTATCTCTGAACTCGGCAGCTGTGGCCCATTCGATGGAGGAACAAAGAGATTAGAACTTCTTATTGGGAGGTTAGCTCCCCATTAACTGAGGTGTTCTATTGAGAAAGGGAAGGGAAGGAGCTCAAACTGGTGTTTTTAAGAATTGGAGCCTGGGTCCCTTCTCCTGGGCTGACATTTTACAATCTTCCTTTATAGTCGTGGGTGGCTTTCATGTCAAGCTGTTCCGTGGCTTTTTAGGCATGAGGCCCCTCAGGCTTTAAAGCAGGAGTCTACTTTGCTATACTCCCAGATGGCTGGAATGTCCCCCAACTAGGCAGTTAACTTCTGCACTTATCTCCAGCTCTTGCTCAGCCAGCATTCCTTCACCTCCTCTCCTCCCATGGCCTCAGAAATGGGGTCCCTAAGCCCAGGTGGTCTTATTCCCATCAGCACAGGGCCAAGGCTTGTGATTCTTCCAAGCCCAGAGCCCAAGAACTGAGGTAACACTTCAAAGTTCAGCTGTGAAATGCATGCGTCATGGATCAGTTAGGATAGTTTCACTTTAAGGTATCAAAAACCCAAATAAAAGGTATAATAATAGGGGTTTATTATCTCACATAACAAAATAGTTGTCTCATTGATGAAATCAAAGACCCAGGCCTTTTCTGTTATCTTCAGCCTGTGGACTTGTCCCTTCATGGTCACATGATGGCAGCCAGGCATCATAATTGCACATGACCTTGCCCAAAGGCAGGAAGGCCAGTTCTTCTTTCATTAGGAAAGGAGCCCTTTCCAGAATCCTCCAAGCCAGCTTCCCTTCAAGTTCTGTTGGCCAACATGGGTCTTGCATCCATGTCATGGCTGCAGTGGAAGCTGGGGAAGTATGCATGCGACTTTTGGGCCAGCAAACAACATTGCCTGCCACATATTATGTCCTTAGTGATCTCAGTCAGAAGAGCCTCCTGATCATTGTTGGGGATATAGTGCTGATTATGGATTTGTTTATCCTGTAGAAATACTCCTGTGAAGGAATGGTGATAGAAAAAACAGGAGATGGGTTGGACATGGGGTTTGCATGTTCATGAGGATATTTACTGCTGTGTTTATCTAAAATGTTTTAGGTGTAGTTTTCCTTACAAAGCCTTGCTTAAGTAGTTCAGGTTCAATATACCATTGTTTAGAATGAACACGTATAACAAGTAATCCTTGAAGGCTGAGTTAATTTATTAAAATGACAGCATCTTCATAATTTTATTACTGCCTCCCTTTCTGTGCCCTGCCCCAAAACGTGTTCTCTGCTAGTGACTATCACAGATGCATGCTATTTTTAAGGCAAATAGTCTTACCTTTTGAAGACCTGGTCACTTATGTCACAAAGGACAATGTGTAAAGACACAAACTACATATTGTGACTTAAACATGAAGCATTAAGAGAGAATGGGTGGCTGCATTGCCTAGAATGCTCTAGTTTATGAGCTGAGTGGCTTCCACAGGGAGATAGACGGATATTGAGAGGGGAGTTCTGGTTTGCGTAAGCTTTCTTAAAGCCAAGCCTAACTAGTGAGGAATCGAGAAAGAGGATCTGGGTAATACTGTATTTGAATAAGGGGAATACAGTAAAGGGACCTAGGCAATTATTTCAAATGTTAATGTATGTGGTGTTCATGTGCTATTTCCTTTCCTCCCCTTAGGTGGTATTGGCAAAAGCAAAAGATGCAGAAGTATGTGAAGTTTATGAAAGATAATTACCCTTCTGGTTTCAAATATCAAGATTTTGGACCGCTATTTACAGCAAAATTTTTTAATGCCAATCAGTGGGCAGATATTTTTCAGGCCTCTGGTGCCAAATACATCGTCTTAACTTCCAAACATCATGAAGGTAAGTAAGTACAGCGTATGAAAATTCTGATAATGGTTAGGAAATGCAAAGTTGTTTTTTTGGAAGAAGAAACTAATGCAAGGATGTTCATATGAAATCACAGTTTTCTCTTAGGAGCAACCATAAGTGGTGACTGGTATTTGCTTATAATTTAAGGACCACATGTTCTACCCACATTGAGAGGTATTAGGGGTACAGAAAAATCATAGCCTCCACATAACAGAGGAAAGATGGTCACATTTTGTTATATGCATATTTAATAATAGTTCCAAGATTTAATTAAAGATATTTGAAGGGAGATGTGGGTTGCAAGTCAAAGTTTATAATTGGAATTGCACTCTTGTTTCTTTTCTCTGTAATGCATTCTGTGAAAGTACCTTGGGGATTATGATGTTGTAGTCTTGCATCATTATCAACACACCTAACTGCACTTTTGGCCAACTCTTGGGTGGCCAAGTGATGTAAATGGTGGATGAATTGCTAATGATGGAAGTGATACAGATCACCTGGAGGAAAAAGGATTATGGAACTGCAATGGTGCCCAGAAATATCAGAGGTGGTGGAATAATATCTAAAAGGAATCACAGTGGTCTTTCATTAATAGGACAGATTCCACCCATTACCATTCCAGTATCTATAAGACCAAGGAAGCATTAACAAATTGTTATTGTCTCAACCACATGTTAATTCATTAGATAGTTTTCTTTGCATGGCTATCTTTGCCTTGGTATAAGAAATTTTGCCTCATTGTTTTCTCCAGGGATGGGAGGGGGGTAGGAGGGGAGAACCAAAACCAAAAATCTAAAATTATCTTAGAATACTTTTCCCTTTGGCCACATTCTGGTAGCTTCATGATTGTCTCCTATAACTGTTTCTCCTGCTGAGATAGATATTTATAAAGTGTATTTGCTTGAGAACATGTTGATTTCCTGATTCTAGGAACTTCCCCAAGTTGTATGGCACAAAGTATTATTAAAAAAAATTAAAAAACTCATTTTTTTAATTAAAAAATAACTAAGAAACTCTTAATCTGTGAGGACAGATGAGATACATGTTTATACATTTTCTAGGACTCATGCTATCAGATGTTTTCATTACTTATGGAAAATGTACTGCTAAACGCAGGGAGGAAGATCACTGTGTGAGCTTATTTATGGTGGTGATATTAAACTGAAGGCCCATGTGGTTTTAGCACTGACTGACATTAGGGCCTGTCAAGTTGAAAAATTTTGAGTATGACTTTAAATATTGACACTGCTTTGAAGCTTACCACAAATGTCTTTGGAACACAAGAGTGAGCTGTTTTAAAAGCTTCTTAAAATCAATCTTAGACTTGTCTTCATTTACAAGAGTAAAGTGTTTCAGCAAAAGTGTCTTATGAATGTCTATTCTCAAAGATTCTTTTAGATGTTAGTGGAACAGTAACAATGTCCTTATGTCTCTAGGCACTAACTGAAAATTTTGAGGCTTTTATATTATTTCTTAAGTATTTAAGATTATATATCTCTTGTAACATTTTTATATAGAACAACCAGCAATATAACTGCAAATTCCTGTTAAAAATGAATTATTTCAAAGTGTTTCTGTAATGGTGTACATTATTTTTCTTACCCATTTAGTTGGTAGATTATTCACTTTGGGGTAATTTTATTAAGGAGGAACATGTAAGCTTATGGCTTTACAGTAGGATGAGATTACACATGGTTAGCATATTTTAAAGTACAGAACTATTTACTGGGAAGTAGTGTCTTTAAATGAATAATCAGGTTAAAGGAGATTTACTATACATGAATCACCAGTGTTCTAAGAGTCACACTATAATTCAATAAACAATCTTAAAACTAGGCAATAGACTCCAGTCTTTGGTTTAGAAGACAAATAAGAATCTAGCAGGAGTGCATCTCAGGATCTTCATTATAAATAGTAGTAGTCATTGTTTAGCATGGTAGATGTGGAAAAGGTTACCATCTTAGCTATAATCTGATATTGTTCATTGTTTATTTTGTGGTGCACCCTCTGCTAGCAGTTGGCTGGGGATACAGCAGCAGGTACCACAGACGTGATGCTAGCCCTCGAGAACCTTAAAGTCTAAGAGAGAAAGTACTGGAGCTAGATCAGACCGTATAGACCTTTTGGCATACCCTGAAAGTTGCTTTTAAAAACCTCAGCCCCATTTTGTTTAAATTCTCATTCATTTCTCATATAAAAGAATATATACTATGAAAAAGATTGCCATAAATCAGGTGTTTTTAGAAGCAGTTATTTATATATCCTATGTATTATCTGATTTGTTTTGGCATTTGTATGAGTGGAAATTTACTAAAATAAAATTGATGTGCTTACAAGGGTTTTTACTATAATTTTGCAGGCTTTACCTTGTGGGGTTCAGAGTATTCATGGAACTGGAATGCAGTAGATGAGGGGCCGAAGAGGGACATTGTCAAGGAACTTGAGGTAGCCATCAGGAACAGAACTGACCTGCGTTTTGGACTGTACTATTCCCTTTTTGAATGGTTTCATCCACTCTTCCTTGAGGATCAATCCAGTTCATTCCATAAGCGACAATTTCCAGTTTCTAAGATGTTGCCTGAGCTCTATGAGTTAGTGAACAAGTATCGGCCCGAGGTCCTGTGGTCGGATGGTGACGGAGGGGCGCCGGATCACTACTGGAACAGCACGGGCTTCTTAGCCTGGCTGTACAATGACAGGTGTGTGTGCCGTTGCGTTGCTGCAGTTATGTTAAATGTTCCTAAGGTATTTATAACATCGTACTTTCCTTGCTGCTTGAAATATTTCCTTTTACGCTTACTGGTGGCCTAAGGGGGAGGAGATCATTGTAAATGCTGCTTATTAGATAGCTCAATCTTTACACAAAATAATCAGAGTAAACAAATCAGGAGTAAAATACAACTCAGTCTGATTTTGAAATCAGAGTGAAAAATCACAGCGTCAAGAACTTTGAAGGTATTAATTTTGGGGTCCCCCTTTTTATCTCCTACTCTTGCTTTTTTGGCCCCTATTTTGGAATAACTCTGTTTATTCATCATTATTTCTGATTATGTACTTTTTCAATCCCCCAATTGCTTCTTTTTGTCCCCTCATTGTTTCTTATCTTTTGGTAATCTTTGCTGCCCTTATCTGTCTCCTCTTTTCCTTCATCAGCAGTATTCTCACTCCTTCCTGCTCTTTCCTAGCATGTTCAAGGCACCCTGTTATGACAGTGAGTTCTCACGGAACTCCTCCATTAGGCCTAAACTATATGGAACAAATTTGCCTTTGTACTAGAAAGCACCTGGTATTGTGCTATGAAGGCAGGCATTCTTCTATTTGTACTTCCTGAGCCCACAAAGGGCACAAATACCAATACTCTGGAGAACTCTTGAGACTTAAAATAGCAGTGTCTCCAGGTACTTCTCCCAAGGGAAAAGACTAGGAACCATCCACCTCCATTTGTGACTCAAACTTGTCCCTTCTCAGTGGAGTGCAGTCCTCTCTAACTGTACCACCTGTGATAAGTTTTGTTGTGGGGATATTGTTCACATAATGTCAATAGGCACAATCGTAAGAGAAAAACAAAGCTAGAATATATGTATGAGATTATTCAATCATTGGAGAGAAAAATGTCTTGAGTATAACTTCAGTTGTGGCTACCATTCACAATATTGGGGGGCTTCAAATAATAGTATAATACTGTTATAAGTGCTATATGTGCTGGGCACTGGGCTAAGAGTTTTACATAAATTATTTTTGGTCTAATAATAGATGAGGAAGTTTATTATAGAGGAGTTAGGTGGCTTGCGGTAGGTCTGGGAGCTGGAAAGTCACAGAGCCAGGACTCCAATCAACCCTGGTCTATTTGTCTTTAGCATGATGGGCTTTCCACTGTATTATGCCATGGTCCTTTTTCAGGAGTGTATTTCAGTTAGACCTCTTTTCAGTGACATTTATTTCCTTTCATGTAAAAAAAAAAAAAGATACTTTTTGCTTAAAAATTATCCTTTTCATTTCAGCCCAGTTCGGGACACAGTAGTCACCAATGACCGCTGGGGAGCTGGTAGCATCTGTAAGCATGGTGGCTACTATACCTGCACGGATCGTTATAACCCAGGACATCTTTTGCCACATAAATGGGAAAACTGCATGACAATAGACAAGTTTTCCTGGGGATATAGGAGAGATGCTGGAATTGGTGACTATCTTAC